CGTGACTTTTCGGTAAAATCACAGTTAGGTTGAAGGAAAATAACAAAAAACTACGACGTTTCGATCACAACGCAAGCGGTCGTCATCAGGAGGATGACGGGGAAAAAACCCACTTGTGTTGCGATCGAAACGTAGTTTTTTGTTATTAACTACGTGACTTTACCGAAAGACCCAAACAATATCCCTCTATAATTGCATCACTCAGGGATTTTCTTCTGAAAGAGATAATGTATATCAGTTCTATAACCTGGCTCAAGGACATTGACGTTATACACAGGCTAAGCAGAAAACAAGAAATGATCTTTATGGCGGTACCCCGGGGTACCAAATAATAAAAAAAGGCCGAAGCAATTAAATATTTTATTTCTGGGACACTATTTTTTCGAGGAGTGGAGGGTGGGGGAGTAGAGTTAATCATTATACCCTGAGGATAGCGATTTTGTTCGGGTGTACTGTGGGAAACCGTGTTGCAAGTGTCGCTAAATGCCCTTTGAAATGAGTGAGGCTCGCTGCCTGTTTGCCATAAACTGTGCGTGTGAAACGAAAATAAGTAATATTTAAAATACTTTTTTTTAAAACACACTTTAATGAAATGTACCGTACAAGTAATGGCAGAACTCCACGACTCTAGGAAGTGGCCCCGAGGCTTGCCATCGCGTAAGGGACCGTGGTGATTTACAGCCAACGTGAGTTGGGCGTGGACAATTAGACCCAAGCCGAAACATAACATATAAAAAAGATTGTTTAAAAAAATATATTTTCATGATTTAATATAGTATTTTAATCAGTCTGACATACGTATACCAAGTTTACAGTCGATACGACATTGGAAAGTAGGTTAAAATTGAGTTACAAGATTTAAAGATACGACAACAGACAGTGAGTTAATAGAAAGCGTGTAATAAAAAGGGATATTTTGTTCTCTTTCATTTATTTCAAGGTCGTAGCGCCATATGATGAGACGAAGAAGCTATTTGGAAGTCTCACATTAGAACTGTTATTATTTTATGCAAGATGTCTCACAAACTTGTGGCCGAACTCTCCCATGCACCCTGCGATGAGTTTTTCCCATGAAAGTCAAACCGATGTTTAAGCTTTCAATGCTGTAATATAGCCAAAGAAAGTGAAACCAAATTAATGTCTTTTGTGTATGGGTGTGTGTGCAGCCATGAGATAGTTTTTCTCATGACAGATCTATTCAGACAAATTAAATTGAACATTTTACCTGCAATTTTTTTATACATAAAGTCATTGGTGACTGGGCTGAGACCATCAAATGCACTTGAGAACCCACTTAAATTACAAGTCGCTGTAACCTAGATTAAAACCTATATCCCAGTGGTTCTGGCTTAGCTCCATGGCCGATGAGGCACCCATCATTTAACAGTTGTACAGGATAATTTAAACTTTGAATAGTGCATCGTATACAGCTTGTCGAGATGAGTCGATTTCCGCATCGCCGACCATGAACAAACTAAAAACGACTGCATCACGGACATTATGCGAGAGCCGAGGTTCTATGGTACCCTGGGGTACCGCCATAAGGTTCATTATTGTTGAAGGAGGCTGTTACCCTGGATACAAACTTTTTTTTAAAAATCGTGACACGCCACCCAATATGGCGAGGCTCCCCACCCATGTTCATTGCCACATCGTACAAGGGTGATTTGTTCATGTTGCTCATTGATAAGTGCTTACACAGAGGTGTTCACCAAGATTGTGATTAAGCTATGAATATAAATTCATGACGATCAAATGAAAACGTGAAGGAGTTTCAGAAGTGAAAGCACAAAGTAATCAATATTGGTGGAACATGTCATATATATTTAGTAATTACTATTTATGTCATGATGTGCCAGTTTTGAACACTATCAAGAACACTTAAAGAACTATGTATAATTCCCACAATTAGCAAATAAATGGTTTTAAATTGCATTCCGTAAATATATTTTACTGATGTCAATAAGCATTCAATGGAGCAAAATATAGAGACGAAATATTTTTGTAAATTGATCATGAGATGATTGGTCCATTCCAAGACGCTCGCTTCTGGCTGGACAGATTGTACCAGGTTTGTCATCGCAGCTCGGCACAACGCAGCCAGAAGACGCTGCAATGTGATACAATAAAAGTGATCAGCAGAGTAATAATAACACATCACTACACTCTAGATTTGAAGTTTTCGTGACTGCAAGAATCCATACTCTTTGGTTCTGTCGGTAAAGTCACGTAGGTATAAAATAAATTAAATCACGACATTTCGGGCGCAACACAAGTGCCCGTCATCAGGTGGAAACAACCACAGCAATAAACAATTGCTAAAGTGGGCAAAAGGAGGCTGCTTGTGACACGAGGCTATATATACAATACGTAAGAGGGGGGAGGGTGCATCTTGAACTTCGCCACTCCCCCTACCCCACACCCCCACCCTCGCTATCTCTCCTCCCTGGCTCCCCACCTCTTACGTATACTGTATATAGCCTCGTGTCACAAGCAGCCTCCTTTTGCCCACTTTAGCAATTGTTTATTGCTGTGGTTGTTTCCACCTGACATCATTACACACCTGCTGCACGAGTCATGTGTACCAACCACAAACGTGTACGATGTTGCAACGTGCAATGCGTTCCTCTTCACAACATAGGCTACAGCAGTACCTTGATATGTAAACATTCGATATCAGTACATCAAACTTTAGATTTATTTACATCATATTGTTAATGAAAAATAAGGTAAAATAATACTTAAATACACTGACATTTATTAAGAAATAATAAACTTATCCATCTACAGTACGATATAAATAAGAATCAAATTATAATAATATATGGTTTATTAAGCATTACGCATCGCGATGGGTTATACAAAGTTTACTTTCATCTGGGCCAACATAGCGCGCAGCAACGGACGATGTTACGGAGCTCTGGTGTTTGGTGTGCAATGCAACCTTACGACTGCACCGAAATCAACACTGGTGAGTGTGATCATATTTTACTGTATAGTCCACCGTTTCTCTTGTTCATGTCAGTTTTTAATTTTAATACTGTACAGTATTAAATATATTATTTTCAATATAATACGTATTTACTTATAATATGAATGGTAAGTTACGAAGTATTATTCTATGGTTCTTTCGGTAAAGCCATGTAGATAGATATATATAATAACATTACATAATAAAAATAAAGTGAATAAAAATAATACAAATATCACGACGTTTCAATCGCAACACAAGTAATGACGACCGCTTGTGTTGCGATTGAAACGTTATATTTTTATTATTTTTATTAACTTTATTTGTATTATTTTAGTGTTATATTTTTTTCTATCTACGCGACTTTACCGAAAGAACCATATAATATGAATTCCTGCCGTCACGAAAGTTTGAAGTCGAAGTTATGAAGTGTTTATAGAATGCTATGGTAAGTTACGAAGGCTGAGAACGCATCCTAATTCTACTAATGCTATAAGTTATTCAATATACGAAGTTTCGATATATGAACGAAGCTTCAGGGACGCATCTACTTCGTATATCGAGGTGCATCGTTTGAGAACACGTAGCAGCTTCCCGCACAAAGTATTACATCAAGAAACGGCACTCTCTTCTGTTCACATTTCTCAACCAGTGGTGGAAATTCCACTTCATCATGGTGGGAGCCGGTCTCCCTATAGTATGACCACTGTTGGTTTGCCACAAAATCGTTAGCATTTTATTGATCCTGGAGGGATAATGTGCCGAATTGGCACTCAAGCAGGACTTAAACTCACAACCTTCTGATTATACGAGTCAAGCGCTCTAAACACAGCATGACCCACTCATTGAAATTGCCCTCACATTGTTCCTATTTATTTGTCCAGGGTGGATGAGTGTACACGTAGTGTGCAGCAGGGTGGATGAGTCTACGGCTTAGAGCCTAGTCTCACATGGTGTTGGACCAGATGACGCCAAAAGGCGCACAACTCAAAGACAATGCACCTTCAGAGTATGAGAGCTCGGGGTAAGAATTTACACCATTGGAACCTCATTTGCCAGTATAAAATATGAGACAGCATTTAAAATTTTTAAAATGCTGTTGATTCTCTCTTCAGCACACCGGTGGGCTAAAGAAGTCAATTAATTTGTCCTTTGAAAACGTGACACATTTTTTTACTGTTTGGCCGTGTCGGGTGGTGGAGGGTTACGACACATTTATAAATAACGCGATCTGACCCAAAAACCTATATTATGAATAATAATGGTCGCGAAAGCCTATGTGTTAAACAGAACTCCTTTGTCAGCGGCTTTGTATTGGCTGGTGGTGATAAATGACAGCTGCATTGTGAACACCCTTCAATGACAAATGTCAAAACTTCGACGGAAAACTACGTTTGAATAAAAAAAACTCCATAACCTGCGTATGCAAACGTTCATGAGACTGTTGGCATTCAAAGAGACATATTCTTCTGACAGTTGACGCATCGTGCGGCACGGCAGAACGCAGCCCCCCCACCCCACCCCCCGGTGCTGTCCCGGCCCCGCGACTCGACCTGGGAAGCACCTGGCCGAGAGCCACGCGGCGAAACTTCCGCCTCTGCTCCACCCCCACGCGTGGCGGTGTCTACACCCCCACGCGTGGCGGCGTCTACACCCCCACGCGTGGCGGCGTCTACACCCCCACGCGTGGCGGCGTCTACACCCCCACGCGTGGCGGCGTCTACACCCCCACGCGTGGCGGCGTCTACACCCCCACGCGTGGCGGCGTCTACACCCCCACGCGTGGCGGCGTCTACACCCCCACGCGTGGCGGCGTCTACACCCCCACGCGTGGCGGCGTCTACACCCCCACGCGTGGCGGCGTCTACACCCCCACGCGTGGCGGCGTCTACACCCCCACGCGTGGCGGCGTCTACACCCCCACGCGTGGCGGCGTCTACACCCCCACGCGTGGCGGTGTCTACACCCCCACGCGTGGCGGTGTCTACACCCCCACGCGTGGCGGTGTCTACACCCCCACGCGTGGCGGTGTCTACACCCCCACGCGTGGCGGTGTCTACACCCCCACGCGTGGCGGTGTCTACACCTCGAGCTCGCTGCTCGAGTCAGAGCGCAGAGACTGCGGCAGGAGCGGCGGCATCACCGCGGAGCTGGGCTTGCAGCGAGCGGTACGTGATGGTTGTTGTTGCTGTTGCTGTGCCGCATTCATAGCCGTGTCAACCCACACGGTTTACCAAGTATTCTTGTACGGGGAAGTTGAGCTTTCAGGTCCATACGGCGTGAAGCCGTTTCAATACGGGGGGAAAACGTCTACAGTATTTGTTTTCCTTCCTTGTGATGTCACTTTGTAGGATGAACGTTAAGTTGTATAAGGGCACGGGGTGACCATTAAGGTTTTAATTGATCTGTAATAAGGTAGGCACTGATAAGGGGTTGGCAGGTATGGTGGTGGTGGTGCATAGCTGTCAACCCACACGGTTTACCCGGTATTATTGTACTGTACATGGAATTTGAGCTTTCAGGTCCATGCGGTGTACAGTCGTTTCAATACGGGCACAGAAAACATGTTTGTGTGTCTTTGTGTTTCTCCCTTGTGATGGGTCTTTGTCGGATGAACGTTGAGATTTATAAGGGGCACGGGGTGATCAATAAGGTCTAAATTGGTCTGTAACAAGGTAGGGCACTGATAAGGGGTTGACAGGTAATGCAGTATTGTAGTTATTAGTCTCGCTGCTGATACGCGACTGGCGGGAGTGGCCCCCAACAGGTGGCAATCAAAGAGCCGAAAGCCAGGCGGTGGGAAGCTTTAGGAGTGACACTGTTCACCTCTACATCTTCTCTGCCTCACGTTTATTGCGCTCACGATTTTTGTCGTCGGGATGACGATGGTCACCATCAGGGTGGTGATGCTGTATCTGCGACCGAGGCTCCCTGACGAGAATACAGCGTTGGAGCGGCGCCGCTGCAGTAATTAAGCGCACAGCCATGCCAACTCGCGCCTGAGTTCTATTCCAGCCACTCCACACCAAGCCATCACCACACCAAGACAAATGCGTCTTGGTGTGGTGATGGCTACATCATCTCCCCCTCGAACGCCGTTCATTAGTCTCGTCAAGGCTATACGATGAATCGTTGACTGCGTAGGCATGTTTATGTCACGTTTATCTGTAGTATTCGTGTTTATTGTAACTGGGTTTTCTGTCGCTGTTTGTTTCCGTGCAGTGGCTGAGCACAGCCCCAAAAGGCTCAACGTTAAGCGGCCAGCAACACTTATTAACGTTGTAATGGACGAGATAATATACGTTTCTTGAATAGACGCTGTGGTGCAGATGCCTCCATGCCTCGGACACTGGCCATTGATCTGATGTACTCAACCACAGAGTACTGTGCCCCATTTTTTGGCAAAGAGTTACCATGTGTTTCTTGAATTGAGCAAGGATATAATAACCAAAATATAATTGTTAATATCCCATCAGGTACACGACCTTCTGGGGGTGCTTCATTCAGAATAAATTGTACCATACAGTATCGGCAAACTCTGGACTGATCTCGACCAAGAACAGTGGTTCTTAACCTGGGGTGCACGATGCCTTTTCGGGGGGTGCGAGACTTGGCCAGATTGTTTTTTTAAAGTAAATCGTCGAAACACAAATTAAGCACGGGCACGTGAGTACAACTACATGTACTTCTCGATTTAAAGCTTTCCTGACTGCAGGGATTCATCTTCTTGGTTCTTTCGGTACGTGACTTTACTGAAAGAACCAAGAAGATACATGTACTTCGTTTCATCAAACCTATGTATTTGTTAACATACATTTTTTTTTTACGATTGAGAAGCAAAGGGGGGCAAGGCTGTAGTAAAGGTCAAGAACTACTGACCTAGAGATGTCTCATCAGCAGTCAGGCTTGTGTACAAAATACATTTTCCGTGGAGGGACAGATATATGAAGTTGTAGTCTACTTTTTGATATTTGTTATATTCTCCACAACAATGCTAATTATAATTTTGTAATATATAACATTTTGGCAAAAAAAGTGATAATCATTCTGTATAACACCAGGTTCAAGCAAGCCTGACTGCAAATGAGACTGTCGAAACCACCAAACATGACAACAGCGTTACAACCAGGGCTGAATTTGTGTTTTGCGTACTGTAGTAATATTTGGTTTAGCACGGAACAAAAACAAACGTATTCGATGCAGCAGCCAGATTCGTGATACAGCCGTTCCAGAACAGGTCAGATTACATTCTTGCACCAAGCAGATTTTACTGTGGCTAAGAATAACATTGTTAAATATGATGCGAGAAAATGTGGAATTGCCAGTGTTACGTGATTTTGTCATTGGGTTTTTTTTATTTGAACGTAACCAGGTTTTTGTCATTGCATTGAGAATGTATTCAAGTCAGTGGTGATAGTTAAGTATCAGCCTGTTGGGTAGCTAAATGTATATTGTAATTTAAATTAGTATGATGCGTAATGTGGACTGTCATTTGCAAGGGAATGGATCGTATGTTCAGTGTAAGATAAGTAATTAATAAAGATTAAAAAATTATGTTGGAGACCAAGCAGAGCCTTGTGGAATGCCAGTTTTCTGTTAAGTTTTAAGATTGACTACCATAAACTACCGCATGTTATTGATCAATTACAAAGCTTGAAATCCAAACTTTCAGACTTCAATCTTAATTATGAAGCTTTCGTGACTGCAGGAATTATTCTTTGGTTCTTTCGGTTAAGTCACGTCTAAAGATAAAATAATAAATTAAAATAAAAGCATATTACGACGTTTCGATTGCAACACAAGCAATCATCATCAGGCAAAAAAAAGAAATAGCAACAAAAATCTAACTAGAAAACTATAGACAGACATACAAGCAGACAGACATCACAAGGACACACAGAGAGAGGACACATATCGGCACAAAGAGAGGGGTCGTTTCTGTGACGGTCCCTTAAATATAGAGAGGGGGGCAGGGACGGAGAGAGGGAGGGGGCAGAGAAAATTAGCATATCAATGAGTGGACGGTAAAGTGCTGCTGCTGCGCGAGTAAGATGACGACGTGGCACGGCACGCAAGCTTGTAAATTAGGAGAAAGGCACACTAAAATTAAATGACTTAACCGAAAGAACCAAAGAATAATTCCTGCAGTCACGAAAGCTTCATAATTAAGATTGAACCACTTCTACGGGGAAGTTTTAAGCTTATCTTTTTTCTCTCTCTGGCTATTTGTTCTCTCTGCCTGTGTCCTCTCTTTGGAAGTTTCACACTTAAATTCTAACTTAGCAATCTTTGAGATACGTAATCAACCAGGCTATGCGTTAATTGTGTGTTGACCGACTCTCTGTGTTGTATTACATCACATTTCGATATTTTGCGAGGTTATTTAATTTTAGTGTGTCTTTCTCCTAATTTACAAGCTTGCGTGCCGTGCCACGTCGTCATCTTACTCGCGCAGCAGCAGCACTTTACCGTCCACTCATTGATATGCTAATTTTCTCTGCCCCCTCCCTCTCTCCGTCCCTGCCCCCCTCTCTATATTTAAGGGACCGTCACAGAAACGACCCCTCTCTTTGTGCCGATATGTGTCCTCTCTCTGTGTGTCCTTGTGATGTCTGTCTGCTTGTATGTCTGTCTATAGTTTTCTAGTTAGATTTTTGTTGCTATTTCTTTTTTTGCCTGATGATGATTGCTTGTGTTGCAATCGAAACGTCGTAATATGCTTTTATTTTAATTTATTATTTTATCTTTAGACGTGACTTAACCGAAAGAACCAAAGAATAATTTCAGACTTCAGTTGATGCCACAGAGTAGGATGTACATTCGTGCAGGATGCCAGCCACAAATCATTTTAAAATGTCAGGGACTGATCATAGACCCTTATATTTTTCAACTCTTGAGCCCCAAACATGAGTTGCATATGCTAATGGGTCATCTGCAAATTCATGCTTAATGGAACCTATACTGATGGTCAATGATAAATAATGACACCAAGTGATAGAGGAGATTTAACATCGTAATGGAGCGAAGGTGAGAGGACAATGTGCATACGAAATGAATGATCCAAATTGGGGATTGGCAGGAGCCGCTCAACTTGTCAAGTCGGTACAGTGTGGGCACTATTGAGTAGAGCTTGAAGAGCCTCTCACGAACTGGTGCAAGTTCTGGAGCACACATTGTTAAGCACAATGCCTGGTATACCACAATGGGACCACAAGTTTTGGTGGCAACCAGTCAAACCGGTTGGTTTTCTGGTATAGCTTGGGTGAACTGAAAACCGTTTTTACCAGTTATGAATTGTGTGATATCGCGTTGGCAGTAGTGCACAAGCACAACTCAACACATTCATCAATAACACTGCCTTAAAAGGAAAACAAAATATTAAGCGGCGTTACTGACGAAGTGTTGCATTTTTTGTTATCAGTTATGATTCCATTGGTCTTGTCAGTTTTCTTTCTGGTTAAACATTTGCCAAAATGGTTCAAATTTGTATGTCACGCAATACAGTGTTAGAAAAACGTTGTCTGGCTGGTTGATCTGGGTGGATTCCTGTCCGGCTGGGTGTCGAGTTCCCAAGTGCACGTGCGTGGTGTGACGTCACCACGCATGATCGGTGAATGCTACATCATTATATTTCTCACAAAACCGCGATAGCAAAACCACTGGGATGGATGTGTTTGGTGTACAGTACGAGAACGCAAGAGAAAGGTGGATAGAGACAGGGCTCTATATAAGAATACAAGTTTTGCTGGCTGGGAGAGACGGACAGGCAGTCACGTACAAGGGATGTGCGATTTGCTAGCTTTCTTAAAATTAACTTACTTTGCAGGATACATTGGAAGTCTTATGTTTTTACTATTAATAAACGACTTCCACGACTATTCTTGTCAGGGTGCTTCTTTTATTAAATGTAGTACTGCACAGCTCCGCTCCTTCCGTCTCCGGATAATTTCCTTTCTCAGGGCAGAGCCAGGCCGCGCTGAGTAGGATAAAAGCAGCGGAGAGCGAGCGCTCTGGGCTGCCAGTTCTGGGAGTGGACTCGTCTTGTCGCTGTTGTCTTTGCCACCTTCGTGGCTGCCGCCTTCACTCGATAATTGTGGGGCCGGATAGTTGTTTGCTGTCTCGGTCGACACCGTCAGTGTAACGCAGGTTAGGGTTGTGTCTAGGCTGG